TGGTGATCAGGGTCAATCAGGTTCCCTGCCTCCTCCTTCCCTCGCCCTGCCGCCAGCACTGGTTTCCTACCATGTTCCACGCTGCCTCCTATTGGTCAGTGCACATCATAGTGAGCGATTGAACTCCCGGTCGAACTCCCAAGGGGACACTTTGGATATTAGCCTTTTATATATATAGATAAGTTAAATTTTTGGTAAGAGAGGGTAATTGAGATTAGACAGACAAATACTTAGATTGTTCCTGAATAACCTAATGAGGTGGCTCTGAAATCCTAAGGGTGAGAGGAAGATGTTTCTTTCCCATCACTTTCCATTTCCTTTCCTGTCTTGCACTTTTTCTTTCCTAGATTTACTTAGCTTCTGAGAAAAAGGACAAATGATGGTTCGTATTAAGCAGTTAATTAGTTAATAGCAGTGCTAACTATTTGTAAGGCACTCAGAGATGGTTAAAAATATGAAGTTATAAAAGACTAAGAGTCTGTCTTCAGAGAGCTCACCCTGGAACCACATTGTGAATCATATGTGATAGGTGCCGGCCAAAGTTACCCAGGAGTGGAGAAGGCCTGTCTTAAACTAAATGTCAAGTCTGAGGAGAAACACTTTCTGGTTCCCCATACCAGGAGCACTCATGTGTCTCCACCAGATAGGTTGGTTGGTGATAGGACATTTCACTTGAGAGCTCCTTGCTGGGTGGACATGGTGCTCTGTTGCATCAGTAGCTCCAGAAGGTCCAGTGTTTTGGTGTCATCCCTGTATTAGCACTGTTGCCCTTTATATTTGAAAAGGATTAGGAAGGGGTCATCCAACAAACTTGGTGGCAGGTTCCATTAGTCATGATACTTTTGTGTAGTCGGCCACCAATTGATGGCAGGTTTTTTTGTGTTGTTTTTTTTTTTTTTAATGTCAAATTAGGCTGATAACTCAAGCATTTCTTTGTTTAGATTGCTGGTCAATCTGATAATTCTTTGATCAGGAAAATCCTTTATTTTGATGGGTGGTTGGTACAGATTTTATTGTAACTCAAGTAAAATTAAGCTCAGTAGGTAAAAAGTAAAAATGTATTAGTCTTAAGACTTTATATGAACTTACACTTTTCATTGAAATGTTACATAATAAAAGTTCTGTGGGCTCATAAGCTGGTTTCTTCTCTTTATGTAGGTGCTGCAAAGCTGGTGGTAGCTGTGGCAGTATTTTTACTGACGTTTTATGTTATTTCTCAAGTATTTGAAATAAAAATGGATGCAAGTTTAGGAAATCTATTTGGTAAGTTCCATTTTTTTTACCCTATTTTAAATCTTGTTTTTGATGTGAATGTCTCGTTACCACTTATCAACATTGAGTCACGCTGTGTAGTCTGTCTAGAAAAGAAAATGTAATTATGCCAATAAGTGAGATTCATTCGAATGTTTTAAAAAACACAATAGAAAGTCTCAAAATCAATTCAGTGTAAAGCATAAATCTTCTATTCAACATTTTGAATATCTTTAATGGAGTGTCTTTTATACATGCTTAGGGTCATTAATCATGGCATTCTAAATGTGCATTGTGGAAGATATCACACTATTTGAGCTGGCTTATAGGAAATTTGGAATCAAACCTAGCCCTTAATTAAAAAGTGGTTAGGAGTCATGATTATGCATTTTAAATACCAGGCATAGAAATCCAATTTGCTTTTCTACCCTTATTTTTCTCCTGCAACATTTTTCTTTTCACCAGTTTGTTTAATGCTCTATTGTAAACATACCATTGTAAGCTACCTTAACTCAGTTTTTAACATTTACATTAATAAAAGAAATTAACATTTGAAATGTTTGCATAAGCTTTGGCTGTTGTTTAAGGTATTAAAAACCACTCTTGAAAGGTGAGGCTATGAAACCAATTAACAGTATTTTGGCCTGGTAGGCAGGAAGTAGATGGAACAACTTTCAGATCTCGGGAATAGTGAATTGTTTTCCATACATTAATATTTGGAGGGAAAGCACAAGAACCAGTTCACATCCTCTTATATCTAGTTTCAAGATTCCCTTAAGGGAGTGCTTCTCAAACTTTACTGTCAGATGAATCTTCAGGGAGTCTTGGTAAATGCAGATTAATTGTCTGGAATGGGGCCTAGGAGTCTGCATTTCTTTTTTATTTTTTTTTATTTTTCGCTAAAAGTATTACAAAGGGTATTACATAAGTGTCCTTTTTCCCCCCCGCCCTTGACAAGCCCCTGCCCTCCCTTACCCCCCAGTGTCTTATGTCCATTAGTTATGGTTATATGGATGCATACAAGTCCTTCGGTTGATCTCTTACTCCCCTCCCTCCTGTCCCCCAACCCTCCCTGACCTTCCCACTGCAGTCCGACAATCAGTTTGAGGCAGCTCTGCCTCTGTATCTATTATTGTTCAAAAGTTTGTAATGGTCTTAATTATCCATGAAAGAGTGAGATCATGTGGTATTTTTCCTTCATTGACTGGCTTGTTTCACTTAGCATAATGCTCTCCAGTTCCATCCATGCTGTTGCAAATGGTAAGAGTTCCTTCTTTTTAACAGCAGCATAGTATTCCATCGTGTAGGTGTACCACAGTTTTCTAATCCATTCATCTACTGATGGACACTTAGGCTGTTTCCAGATCTTAGCTGTGGTGAATTGTGCTGCTATGAACATCTGGGTGCATATATCCTTTCTGATTGTGTTTCTGGTTTCTTGGGATATATTCCTAGAAGTGGGATTACAGGGTCAAATGGGAGTTCCATTTCCAATTTTTTGAGGAACCTCCATACTGCCTTCCATAGTGGCTGCACCAGTCTGCATTCCCACCAGCAGTGCACAAGTGTTCCTTTTTCTAGGAGTCTGCATTTCTAACAAGCTCCCAGGTGATGCTGAGATTCCTGCTCACGGACCACATTCTGAGGATCAAAGCTTTAGACAATTCAGACATGTAGTCATCAATTTGTGTATAAACATTTTTAGGTGACTTTCTTACAATGACTACTTAGGTATACTTCCTCGTATTGCACTGAATTCTGCCCTTTATACTCCCAGGTAATAGCAGCTCACTTGCTTCCACCTCCTTAAATTCTCTTCCGCATTAATGATCTCTCAAATAGTTAAATTGTAGTTATCCTCCGTCAGGTCATCTTTTCACAAGTTTTCATCTTACCAAGTTATGGACTCTTCTTCCCTTTCAGTCGTTTCTCTTAATGTACCGGTTCTTTTTCAGAACATCTGTTGTTCAGCGCCCATCTTAAAATGAAGTTTCCTGGGTCCAGCATCGAGTAGTTATCGCAAAGTACAGTGAGGCTTGACTTACTCCTTCTGTGGACAGTACTACTATTCCTACAGAGGCCCAGCTGGTGCCTGGGAGAGTGCAGTGGTTTCAGAGGCATGATGGCAGAAAGACACTGAGGGCTTTGAGGACTGGTCCAGGGTGCTGTGGGAACAATGCAGCTAGCTAATTCTACTAACAAAGGCCGATGGTTAAGGAAGAAGATTAGGGGATGGTAGTTGAAGCAAGTTGAACATTTTTTTCTTTTTCTAAGTAATGGAGAGACT